TCTGGGCTTTATCTGCCTATGGAGAAGGACTGAGCTCTTTATTGGATTTTTGTCAAGAAGAAATGATTTCGTTTGGGATATGGTGGAAACGGTTCCTGTGCTATTACACCCCCTCATAAATGAAACGACGGGGATCGATTCCTCCGGTGCACCGCGCTCAACGGGCTGTGGGCAACGTGCCCTGCGCCTACGTGCCACCACCATAGGACCCCGAGGATGATGGATATGGCACAGGGACAGTGGATATGGGACAAGGATGGTGGGTACAGTGCAGGTGATGATGGATATGGTGATGGCCTGGTGGATACGGCACAGGGATGGCAGGTATGGTGCAGATAGATACGGTGGGTATGGTGCAGATACGGTGTAGGTACGGTGGTTATGGTGTGGGTATGGTGCATGTATGGCGGGTACGGCACAGGGACCATGGGTACAGTGCAGGTAACGATGGATATGGTGATGGCCTGGTGAAACTGGCACGGGGATGGCAGGTATGGTGCAGATAGATATGGTGGGTATAGTGCAGATACGGCAGTTACAGTGCAAGTATGGTGGGTATGGTACAGGTATGGTGGTTATGGCGCAGATACAGTGGTTATGGTGCAAGTATGTTGGGTATGGTGCAGGTAAGGTGGATACAGTGCAAGTATCGTGGGTATGGTGCAGATATGGTGGTTATGGTGCAGGTATGGTGGGTATGGCACAGGTATGGTGGATACAGTGCAGGTACGGTGGGTACGGTGCATGTATGGCAGTTATGGTGCAAGTACAGCAGGTACGGTGCAGATACGGTGGTTATGGTGCATGTGTGGTGGGTATGGTGCAGACATGGCAGGCATGGCACAGGTGCAGTGGGCATGGTGTGGGTACAGTGCAGATATGATGGTTATGGTGCAGACATGGTGGGTACGGTGCAGCCTCGGCAGGCATGGCACAGGTACGGTGTGTACACACGGTTCTCGCCTCACACCACCGAGCACCTTCACCGACCTTCCCTGCCTCACCCTGTGCCACAGCCAGCTCCTGGCACCGTGGATGCTTTGAAACCCACCTAGAGAGGATGCACAGGGTCTCACTGCTGCACAAGGCAGTGGCTGCACCACATCTTGCATCCCTGGCACATCCAGACACCACCAGCATCGGCATCGTGTGCCCATGGCCATCCAGCCCTGGCCCCGTGGGCAGCATCGAGATCAAACCCAACTGGTGAAGGGGCAAAACCCACTCAGTGAAGGGTCAAAACCCCCCCAGTGAAGGGACAAAACCCACCTGGTGGTGCCAGGGAGAACATTGGTGTGGGGTCACCACGTAGGAACATCCCCACTGAGGACAGGAGGGACAGGGCAGGGAAGGGAAAGCGGAGGCGCCTTCCCCTTTCAGGCAGGATTATAAAACCCGTCACTAAAGTTCTGTTTAATCGCCTTAGCTCAGACCTCATTAGGAAAACGAACCTCGGGGCCAGGAGTGAGCCCTGTCCTTCCCTCTCCGGGCTCAGCCCTGGTGGCAGCAGGGTCCCCATGCTGGGAGCTGGCAGAGGGTCTGTGCCCACTCCGTGCCGCGATGCCACCGCGATGTCCCCACACTGACGCGGCCCTGGGGTGGGTGGGCAGAGCCTTTGAAGAGCTGGAGCTGAGCGGGCGGGCGCGATAGCGAGTTATGAAGTCTCCTAATTAAGAAAATCCTTTGGGGACTGCAAATCCCTCGGCTGTCAGGGCTGTGTGGGAACGCGAATGGGCCGAGACAAGGACCTTGGGGACGGGGACTGCATTGCCAGTGTCAGCAGCCCCTGCGAAG